TTTTGGAGTTAAAATTGACTCATTTTTTACTTTTGCTGAAATTGAACCAGAGAAGCGTAAAAATCATATTTCCAGTTGTTTTAGAGAAAGCTGAAACATGAACTAGAAAGGTATGAGGCTTGAAAATTTTCAAAATTTGAACCTAAATTTCAATGTTTTACCCTGCAACTGGAATTTTTGTGAAGTCAAAAGGATCAAATACCTAAATATTGATTGAAGAAAACTCTATGATTCAGATACAATCAAAATTTGCTATTTTATAATAATTATAAATTACTTGATATTTACAAGATTTGTAGTCATTATGCAACTACAACAATATTTTGTTCAATATCTTCTATACAAATTTCTGAAATTTGGACTTTTTAATTGTTGTTGAAAAATAGTGCCTGATACACTGAATTTCTTTTGCATTTTTTAACTGTAGATTTATTGATTCATTAAGTAACTGCCACTTAACACACATTCAATTAAGATCACTTTTTAGTTAATTAGACTCAATATTTTTTTGGGTCGTCGCCATTAAATTTAAATTACACTGTTGCCCTCTATGATCAGGCTTTCGAACAAAAATTTCAAAGGGCTATCATCAGGTAAAAACCCTCTCGGACCCTTAGAATACTGAGAAATTTAATTATTGCTTATAAATTATTTTGTGTATAGTGATTTTATTGGTTCCAAGGTTTGTACAAATTGTAGCTGTTAACAATAAAATGAGGACACATTTTCTCAAGTATTTGGTTGGACTGATGATGTTTAGTATGTTATGTAAAAGAGCTTTAAAAGATAAAAATCTGGCGTTGTTAAATATATAAAATAAAATTAAATTGTATATAATGTATAACAAATTGCAATATTACGTAAAAAGTAAGATAATAAAGATAATGCAAATAAGTTTTATTTCTTTTAAATCTTAAGATTGTTGTCGTTAAATTAACGATTAACGTTAGTGTAGAAAGTTTGGTGTGAAAAACTCTAGAAGATTTTTCATAAATTTACAAAATCTATACTTACAAAGTGCATCTGGAAAATTTGAAAGGAATTAAATGTATACTAACTATACTAATGTCAGGTATACTTAGGTAACTTTTAACCAAGTCAGAAATTGGCTTAAAAATTCAATTTTTCCAATTTTCCCGGCTTCTGATTGGCTTAAATTTCAATATTTGTAAATTCTCGGCTCTTGATTTGATTTAAAATTCATTTTTCGAATATTCCCGGCTCTTAATTGACTCAATTTGACGTTTTAAAATTCCATGTTCGAATATTTCCGGTTATTGATTGGCTTAAAAATCAAGTTTTTCAATTTTCCCGGCTTCGGATTGGCTCAAAAATTCAATATTTGTAAATTCCCGGCTCTTGATTTGCTTTAAAATTCAATTTTTAAATATTCCCGGTTCCTGATTGGCTTAATTTGACGTTTAAAAATTCAATGTTCGAATATTTCCGATTCTTAATTGGCTTAAAATATCAATTTTTTAATTTTCCCGGCTTTTGATTAGTTATAACAATAAATATTCCGAATTGTAAACACCAGTTAAGTAATATAGGCAAATGTCACTAAATAAGACCAATACAAATTTAAATATTACTTTTTTATATTTTTATACTCTCTTATATCTTAAGCTTATTTAAATAATAAAGTGTGTTATATCAAAAAATTGCAAATTTTCTGTTCTACAAAAAAGGTTTCTTGCAAATTTTTCGAAAAACTTGTTGATTTTAAGAAAATTGCAAAAAACTTAAAAAATGTACTTTTGGGGGTGATTTAGGGCCTGCGCCCCATTTCGGATTTTTTGGGATTTTGAGCCAGTTACTTAAAACTTCAAAAGAAACACATTGGCGCAAAAACTAGCTTGTAGCGCAAAAACTACACATTTCAGGTGAGTGTGTTATTTGAATACTTCAACAATATATTGGTGAGTAGATGGCTGCAGAACTCGCTACGCTCATCTCGCAGAGGTCCACCCATAAGTTCCGCAACAATCCACTTATTTGTCTACTTGAACAATAACTTATTTTGCAAAATCAAAATTTGTAAGAATATTCACTCTTTGTCAATTTGTCTTTCAACAGGAATTAGTAATGTTACTTTACCAAACTAGTAACATAATGTGATAAGTTATTCAAGTACAAATTAGTGAATTGTTGCGGAACTTATGGGTGGATCTCTGCGGGACGAGCGCAGCGAGTTCCGCAGCCATCTATTCATATATATGTTGTTTAATTACGATACTAACCTGAACACTCAAATGTGAGTTATTCTCATTAGTTTAAAAACTAAACGTTTCAGGTGAATGTCTCACTTGCACAGTTCAACAATATATTGGTGAATAGATGGCTGCGGAACTCGCTGTGCTCGTCCCGCAGAGGTCCACCCATAAGTTCTGCAAAAATCCACCTATTTGTACTTGAACAATAATTTATTATGTAAAGTGAGAATTTGTAAGATTATCCACTTTTTGTCAATTTGCCTTTTAACAGGAATCAGCATCATCCGCAGTTATCTATTCATTATTACTGTGTTCAAGTACAATACTAACCTGACTCACTCAGTTATTCTCATTAGTTCAAAAACTACACATTTGAGGTGAGTGTCTTATTTGAATAGTTCAACAATATATTGGTGAGTAGATGGCTGCGGAACTCGCTGCGCTCGTCCCGCAGAGGTCCACCCATAAGTTCCGCAAACATCCACTTATTTGTACTTGAACAATAACTTATTATACAAAGTCAAAATTTGTAAGATTATTCATTCTTTGTTAATTTGTCTTTCAACAGGAATTAGTGATGTTACTTTACCAAACTAGTAACATAATGTAACAAGTTATTCAAGTACAAATGAGTGAATTGTTGTGGAACTTATGGGTGGACCTCTGCGGGACGAGCGCAGCGAGTTCCGCAGTTATCTATTCACCAATATACTGTTGAACTGTGCAAGTGAGACATTCACCTGAAACGTGTAGTTTTTAAACTAATGAGAATGACTCACATTTAAGTGAGTCAGGTTAGTATCGTAATTAAATAACATATTTATGAATAGATGGCTGCGGAACTCGTTGCGCTCGTCCCGCAGAGGTCCACCCATAAGTTTCGCAACAATCTACTTATTTGTATTTAAACAATAACTTATTACACAAAGTCAAAATTTGTAAGATTATTCATTCTTTCTCAATTTTTCTTTCAACAGGAATTAGTAATGTTACTTTACCAAACTAGTAACATAATGTGACAAGTTATTCAAGTACAAATTAGTGAATTGTTGCGGAACTTATGGGTGGATCTCTGCGGGACGAGCGCAGCGAGTTCCGCAGCCATCTATTCATATATATGTTGTTTAATTACGATACTAACCTGAACACTCAAATGTGAGTTATTCTCATTAGTTTAAAAACTAAACGTTTCAGGTGAATGTCTCACTTGCACAGTTAAACAATATATTGGTGAATAGATGGCTGCGGAACTCGCTGCGCTCGTCCCGCAGAGGTCCACCCATAAGTTCTGCAAAAATCCACCTATTTGTACTTGAACAATAATTTATTATGTAAAGTGAGAATTTGTAAGATTATCCACTTTTTGTCAATTTAACAGGAATCAGCATCATCCGCAGTTATCTATTTATTATTACTGTGTTCAAGTGCAATACTAACCTGACTTACTCAGTTATTCTCATTAGTTCAAAAACTACACATTTGAGGTGAGTGTCTTATTTGAATAGTTCAACAATATATTGGTGAGTAGATGGCTGCGGAACTCGCTGCGCTCGTCCCGCAGAGGTCCACCCATAAGTTCCGCAAACATCCACTTATTTGTACTTGAACAAAAACTTATTATACAAAGTCAAAATTTGTAAGATTATTCATTCTTTGTCAATTTTTCTTTCAACAGGAATTAGTGATGTTACTTTACCAAAACTAGTTACATAATGTGACAAGTTATTCAAGTACAAATGAATGAATTGTTGCAGAACTTATGGGTGGACCTCCATCCATTCATATAAATATGTTGTTTAATTACGATACTAACCTGACTCACTCAAATGTGAGTTATTCTCATTAGTTCAAAAACTACACGTTTCAGGTAAATGTCTCACTTGCACAGTTCAACAGTATATTGGTGAATAGATGGTCCACCCATAAGTTTCGCAAAAATCCACTTATTTGTACTTAAACAATAACTTATTCAGAATTTGTAAGATTATCCACTTTTTGTCAGTTTGCCTTTTAACAGGAATCAGCATCATCCGCAGTCATCTATTTATTATTACTTTGTTCAAGTACAATACTAACCTGACTTACTCAAATGTCAGTCATTCTCATTAGTTCAAAAACTACACGTTTGAGGTGAGTGTCTTATTTGAACAGAGCCGTAACTAGACCTGCTTGCGCCTGTGGCAGCTTATTAATTTGCGCCATCGCCCCATATTCCATGTAAAAAAGTAAGTAAGTGATATAAAAATTCCTGTTTCATTTGACATTAATAAAATATTAACATCAGTAACACAAAATTTAAAGTATCACTAAAAAACATAACATGGGTATCTATTGTTCGCCGATTTTTATCTGACTTTTTCCGTATGAGGAGCGAGAGGGTGAAGTATATGGCAAAAACAGGTGTGACGTCAGGTGACCATTAGCGTTCTAATGTAGGGTGCCACCAGTTCACATTCCTTGCGAGTATCAGATTAAAATCGACGGACTTTATATGTTATAACAAAAAACAAATAGAGGAAACACAAAAGAAGAGGATCATGGACAATACCGGGTGTCCGGAGTAATTTGAGGTACATGGGGATTTTGGAAACCATTGAAGATACAGGGTGGACCAAATGAGGAAAAATTACGCAATCAAGTGCCTACAAATAATCTGTCATCAACTTCTTTGAACTCGGAATAGCAACAGATATAGTTTATAATACCTACAAAAGGATCAACGAGCAAACACAAAATTGAAACAATAATTATAGAAATAACAAAAATATTCGAAAGCTCAAGGAAAATCATAGATGTAAGTACGAATAAATAAATGTACAAAAGTACACAGGTAGTTAACCGAAAGTTGAATAAGTTGGTAAAGATCTGGCCTTATTATTAAAGTCAATTCCATTTCAACCCTTTGAAATTTAATTTTCTAATTGTTTTTTCTATGTTGAAGCACAATGATCAACTTGTATCTCTTAATCGAAAAAACAAATCAAGTGCAATTGCATTTGAAAGGACAAACATATAAGATGGACAGCTGTCGCTCTCGTTGGTGCCAAAATTAACATTCCGTAGCACGAGACTTTATTTTTGTCCCGTGCACCGAATACGGGGCCGGTGTATCGCCGGTCTCGGGAATTTCCGGTACCCGAATCGGCACGCGTGTTGCCTCAACTACCCCGTCGTACCACCTTCACGGGTACTAGAATGGTGGGGGAAGGCCCCCGACCGAAAGAAAACCCATCGCGTAGGGCTACCGAGACCATTCAGCCGCGCGCTCTCAAACCTTTCGAATCTTTCAATTTTTGTGCTCAAAACTTTTTAAACACAAATACGCGAAGTGTTTTTATTTTTAAATTTTTACATATATATGGCTCTTGCTATGACCTTAGGTCAAAAATCCAACATGTACAACGTCATCCAGCATTCGATGCCCCAAACTACAAACTGTGTGATCGTGTCTCAGCCTCAAAAACATACAGTGATCGCTTCAGGCAAAAGGCCTCTGGCTCCAGCACCCGAAAGAAGTTCAGTTTTAGTGTCCAACAACAATAACGATTTGCGTTGCAAACGCAAAATCCAGTTTATGCCTTACGGAGCTCCAGCCCCTCAGCCAGCTTCAGTTGCCAGAAGAAACGCCAGAGAACGTAATCGTGTTAAGCAAGTCAACAATGGATTTGCAACTTTGAGATCGCACATTCCTCCGACTGTTTGCCAAGCTTTATCGCCTCAGCCTCCAGCAGCTTCGAGTCGTGGAGCTTCCAAGAAACTATCCAAAGTTGAAACTCTTCGTATGGCCGTTGAATATATTAGAAGTTTGCAGCAAATGCTTGACGAAAACGAAACTGAAGGGTCTAACAATCAGGATCAAAGCTACTACAGCAGTTCGCCTGAAAGCCATCAACAAATCTACCAAAGTTCGTATCCTATTTTACTACCAACACCGTCTTGTTCAGAAGCTTCAGCTTCACCAACACCGTCACACAGCTCAGAAAGTTCCTTCTCAGCAGCTTCCGCATATACGAATGCTTTATATCAAACAACTGAAAATTATGAAAATTACGATCCTAAAAGTCCAGAAGATGAAGAGTTACTGGATGCTATATTTTATTGGCAACAAGAATAACATTTCATGAGGTTAGTATATTTTAATTTTATTTTTTTTTGTACCTGTGCAATTTCACAGCACCCCAATTTTTATACCTGCCTGTTCAGGTTATATTTTATTTTCTACCCCTCGACTGAATAAATCCCGTTTGGTTTTTTGTGCCAGCTTGACAGGGGTTCACTGAACATAAAGACTAGTTTCTTATAATGGTACAATACTGTCTGAGACGTTATAAAATTGCGCCAATTTTTTTTTTAAAAGTTATGTGTAACGGATTTTTTTTTTTGTTATAGGTTGTCCAGTTCTTTTGGCCAGTGAAGACGAGTGCCTTATTTGCTTCATTCCAGTGAGAAGTGATATTTATTTTTTTTATTAAGAGTTTATCACTGTTTTTTTCTAGTCATATTTGTTATTTTGTACATATTTGTAAATGCAATTTAGAGTTTAAGAAGCGGAAAACGCTTTTACAAATTATATAGCACAAGAATTGGCTAATGGAATTGCAATAAAATTGTTTGCTCTCTAGGAATTTAATGTTACAAGAAATAATGATGTTAAGATTGTCGTGCTCTTATTTAAAGTTTTGTACTGATTAATTTTTAGTGTTTAATTTAAAATTTGTTTAGTTTTAGGTTGTACATTTATGTCACTTTTATAATGGAGTTTGTAAATACTACAAGATATGTGAAAACGTACTGAAATAAAAACGATTTTATATTTTTTAATTTTGTGTTTTATCTTTTTATTTTAGGAACTTTGTTTTTCTTATAATGGCATAGTTCAAATTTTGATTATGTTGTATGTTGATAAAAGACAAATTATTAGCACTTGAATAAAAATTAATATAAGAGCCGAATATAAACAAAATCTAACTATTGTCCAAATCAATATTATAAAACAATTAAACGAAGGTAATAATTTTTTCCCTATGAAAAGTAGTTCAAAGTTTACCTAAGCCCCTAAAAAGAAACATTTATTCAGTGTTGCCAGGTCTACTGATTTATTAGTAGATCTACTGATTTGGCCACTGATATACTGATAATAATGTAAATTCTACTAATAACATTAGAAGCTCATGAAATCTAAAATAAAAAATAAGGATCAGTATTTAAAAAAATATAGTTGATGATGGCCGCCCAAAGACGAAACGTCGAATCTGAAATTTGGTAGCAACATCTTGTAAAGAGGAAAAAGTGACAATGATGAAGTGACATTCATTTTAAAATTGTTCTTCAAATAGACTCAGGAAGAAATAGAAATGATTTTGCAAAATTTCGGTTTTTTCCGAATATCTTCGGAAATATTAGGAATTTTTCAAATTTCAAAACGGCATTTTATTGGTCATAAAATTGTGCAACTTTGCCATGAGTTAACCGACCTCGTATCTCTTATAGTTTCCGATATCTCAATGGTCGCCCTCGAATTTGGAACATCCTGTACAGTAAGACTTTACAAACAATTTTTTCACTCAAAAACTAAAGTGAGTGTAGAGTTGAAATTTTGAGGACTTTTTCCTAAAGATTCATGTAAAAAATACTGAAAATTTAAAGCGATTAAGTTATTATTAACGGAGTTATGATTTTTTTAAAATAATGATATGCTTTATAAAGTAAGACTTTACAAACAACAATGTAAAAAATACTGAAAACTCAAAGCGATTGAGTTATTATTAATGGACTTTTTTGAAAATAATGATATTTTGTAAAGTAAGATAGTTCAAAAACTACACTTTTCAGGTGAATATCTTACTTGAACAATTCAACAGAATATTGGTGAGTAAATGGCTGCGGAACTCGCTGCGCTCGTCCCGCAGAGGTTCACCCATAAAATCCGCAATAATCCACTTATTTGTACTTGAACAATAATTTATTACAATTATAAAATCAAAATTTGTAAGATAATGATTATTCACTTTTTGGCAATTCGCCTTTCAACAGGAATTAATAATGTTACTAAACTAGTAACATAATGTGACAAGTTATTCAAATACAAATGAGTGAATTGTTATGGAACTTATGGGTGGACCTCTGCGGGACGAGCGCAGCGAGTTCCGCAGCCATCTATTCATCAATGGAGAGTTCTCGTGCCGTCCAAATTTCAAATACCGTAACGTTATTTGACAAGTATGACAGTTCTTACGGTATTAGCGTTAACGAAGCCCGTTATCTAACGGAACTTAGCGGATGCCTTACCGTAACGCTATAGGCTATGTCAAAACAGGTTAACGTTCCATTTATGTTTGCAAAAACAGCAACGTTTAATAATTTCTCCATGAAAAACACCAAGGGAAAATTAATCAAGCTCAGGAATCTTCAAGAATAATAAAAGTTAGAAAACACGCAAAAAAAAGTTAAGTTAAGATGGGTTCTAACAAAAAAATTAGCCTAATTCAACCTAACCTAGCTTAAGACTTAATTTAAATTCATTTTTTGGCGTTCATAAGAAACTTCAATTTAATCTAAGATTTAAATATTCTGCCAATGATACGTATGACGTACCTATGTCAAAATTCGCGTTTGCGCAATGCCCTAAATCTACATTTAATTAAAGAATTTTAAGGAAAAGATAAAAGTTGGTGAACTTTTTGTTAAGTTAGGTTAAATCTTAAGTTAAGTGTATAAACGCCGTCGTAAGCCTGCATATTTCAAACTTCTTAGGTTAGGTTAGTTTAAATGTTAAGTTAAATTAAATTTTCTATTAGAACCCACCTTTAGATCATTCACCTCAGCTGTCAAAATATAAACAGAATAAGGGATTAGAGGATTTATGTGTCTCCGTATCCAAGAACTATAAAATAGGGACCTTTTGCACCTGTTATGAAAATTCGCCCTTATGCCACTTTATTGGTTGATAACGGACGAAGACGTCATTTTTATGACGCTATTATGAACGTTATATTTTCAGTTTTTGCACCGTTTGGTGTGTTGACAATACGTTAAAAAGTTAGGTTATAAATCTTGTTGTTTGTTGTTTTCTGTAAAAGTTTTTTGTTGCAATGGAAAATGTACTAGACGCTTATTTGAGACGCCGGAGGCACCTTGGGGTTGATCATAATATAATAAGGGGTATTGTGTTGCGGGATATTTTTTTAAACGAACCACCAAACCCCATCCCAATCGGTGTTGTCAATGCATTTGGAACTCATCAGACTAGACTAAAATAATGTAGTCAAAACAATAATAGTCAAAAGCAAACATTTTTAATACAATTAAATAAAAGAAAACATACATTTTTGTAGATGAAAACCATGAAAAGTTCGCATTTTAGAAACTTAGCATTTTACTACCGGCAACATCGTCTAGACTTTAAACGTTGCTAACATGAACGCAAATCAGCCGTAGGTAACGTTGAACTTAATCGCTTAATAAGGCAAAACGCTATTTCCCATCAATTGCGCACGCGCCAAATAAGCGATAAAGTAAAATTGTAGCGAAATAAGCGGTGCAAAAGGTCCCTAATATCATGCAAAATACCGTATTGTTAGCGGTACCGTATTAGCGTATCGTGTGAAACACGAGAACTTTCTAATCTGTTGTTTAATTACGATATTAACCTGACTCACTCGAATGTGAGTTATTCTCATTAGTTTAAAAACTATACGTTTCAGACAGTGGCGTAAATTACGGATTTGGATCCAAAAAAACGGCTTCAATTTCCAACTCTATATGTTTACTACTCCTTCACCTTTACCTGCTCTAAGGTCAGAACTAATCTCTGTGGTCAGAACGTTAATTGTCTACCTTGAAAAAATATAAAGTCAAAATTGACACAATTTTGACATTAACGGCTTGTTAAAAAAGTCAAATTCATACAAGGTGCGTTCAAAAAGTGCCAATGTCCATTTCCGATTGGTAGATTCAGTGCGCACTGAGTGTATTTGCCTCCTTTTAATCGACCTGTAGAAGCAAAAGACAGCATTAGAAAAAATTGCACTAGTTCCGCACTAGATCTACCAATCGGAAACGCCATTTTAGGCTAAGGACACAATGACAATTAGGGAATCCAAACCACGTGACTTTTGCCAACCAGCCGGCATTTTGAAATTTTTATGAGGTTAGAATACGGGTTGTTACATGTCAACGATGTCAGAAAAGTGTCAGATTTGAGTACTCGCGGTACTCGCCCTGTGTATTGATAAAGCCTAGTACTCATAACTGCGAAATTCGCTCGTTTTTGACATTGCTTCGTTTGATTCACGCATAAAACGTCAAATTGTCGAAGCAATGTCAAAAAAGAGGAAATTTCGCTGTTATGAGTAGGTACTAGGCTTAATCCTGCCAAAAAAAAAAAAAACACGTGTTTTTTGTTTATTGTTTGCCAACCAGACGCCATTTGGACAGGTCGTTGGATTGCCTAATTACAATTAAGCTACAAGTGACAGATACAGAATACCAATGACAGAATACCAAAAAATCGAAATTTTGTATCGTGTATCCATTTATTCTGGGTTATAGCCAGTGTTGCCAATCTGAATTTACGAAATTACACGATATGCTAGTCAAATTACACGTTTTTACACGCTTTCAGTCTCACAATTACACGATTTTTATACACGATCTTGGTACCTATTTTGTGAAGGATAATACATACTACTACTACAGTGATTAAATAAACCTACTATTACCTAGAATAGCTTAAACCCCTCACCACGCCAAAAATCCAGTGATGACGTAGGCAGCGTGTCGTTTCTCACCTTGACATAGGGTTTAGGGTTATGATTCCATTTGCTTTATGCTAACTTATTTTTTGTACATCAATTAACATTCTTAAACAACGCTTTTTTAGATTTTGTTTGCCTCTTTCTCTTTGCCTATTATCTTAATCAAAATTAAATAATATTTTTCATGATGAATGTATATTCAAAACGACGATGGCTGGCGCAAACAACTGACGACGTATAGTTGATGAATTTGTCAATGGTGCTATACGATATGGCTGCGATTCCCAGAAACGAAGCCGACAAGCAATCCTGTGTAGTCGCTTGTATTATCCTTGCTATTTTGTAGCATTAAGAAGCAAGCATAATTTTTTTTTAGGGGTTAAATCTGAGGGGTAATGTTCTTGATCATCGCTCCTCAACCAAAAATAAAGATGTGGTAACGACAGAAAAGCGATCCGAAAGTA